CCCCCTAGCGTCGACTTGAAAAGTATTCAATCTTCTACACTAGTCTGTATCGGAGTAATTATTTCGAACGACCATTTTGATAAACATCACCAAGATGAAGTACGGGGCAGATTTTTACAAGACGTTCTGCTGCATTATATAATGTTGTTGTTTTAACTTCTTCCGAGGAATCTTCCTTTTCCCGTTCAGGTAAAACTATGGTGATAACATACGAAACGTGACTTTGATAAATAACCGTTTCGATACACAAATTCACATGAATGAAGTATACCTATTTCATTATGGGTCAGTGAACAAAATAAATTGTTGGGAAAGTCTCACAAGCTTTGATATCTTAAAAGATCTCCGCGGAGGTATTTTGACAAAGAGACTAAAAATATGTTTTCGAGATTTGCGTACCATTTCAAGTGCCACTGGAAAATTACTTGTGTGTTTTTTTCCAAATCATTCGCTTGCTCGGTTTGTTTTCAGAATAATCATTATAATTGTTAAATTGACCAAAAATGAAAATAAATTAAACTTTGTTTTACCTCAAATCCCGCTAAGAATCGTACCAAGCACTCGTACAATTTAAACTTAATCATGTTTTTATTGTCTTTTGCAAGTTGTCCGTAAAAGTTCCACAAAAACATACTGTAATAGAGCATGATAATCAAACACGCTTTCATTGTCAAAATGTAACAATGTATTTAGGAAAAATATGAGCCGTGTCACGACAAAACCAACAGTAGGTTTGCGACCAGCATGGATCCAGAACAGCCTGCGCTAGGGGTTTCTTTACTTGTTATAGGGTCTGTAAGCGAACAGCATGGATCCTGATCAGACTGCGTGGATGCGCAGGCTGGCCTGGATCCATGCTGGTCGCAAAACCATTATGTTGGTTTTGTCGTGACACGGCTCAATTATATTTGCTTCCCCACATTTTTCAACAAATTAGGAAAGAAAAATGCAACACATACGGAAATTCTTTTACATGCCACGAAATCCTCAAATGCAAAGACCGTTAAAGATGGTGCAAAGGCAATAAGAACAGTCAATTTCGAAGTTTATGTCTTTAAAAATAGACATTCAAGACGAAACCAAGAATACATCTTTTTCAATACCGTCATCCCCTGTAAATTTATACTTGGCAAAGAAGGTTTGGCAATAAAAATACCTCTCAATAAAATTTTATCAAAGAAGGAAAACAACTAAATGTGATTCCTACGAAAGACAGGTAGGGCCATTTCAACATCATGAATTCCCGATTTCATCTTCATGGATTCACAATTTAAACTTCGTGCATTCCCGTTTTCAAAATACGAAATTCACGAATTCACGATTCAGCTTCATGAATTCACGACTTCAACTTCACGAATTCACGATTTCAAATTCATAAATTTACGATTTCAAATTCACGAATTCTACTTCGTGAATTCACGATTTCAACTTCATGAATTCACGATTTCAACTTCATGAATTCACGATTTCAACTTCACGAATTAACGATTTCAACTTCATGAATTCACAATTTTAACTTCATGAATTCAACTTCGTGAATTCACGATTTCAACTTCACGAATTCACGATTTCAACTTCACGAATTCACGATTTGAACTTCATGAAATCGTGAATTCTTGAAGTTGAAATCGAAAATTCATTAAGCTGAAAAATTAAATTCATGAAGTTGAAATGTCCCCACCGGTCTTTCGTAGATTCCTAGTCTGTAACAACACAGAATTCTGTGTATTAAGCAAAGAATAAAATATTTTTCTCGGTGAAAAAAAATAAATGTGTTATTCCACTTTCTATTTCAATCGTCTAATAGACCCCTTTACCGGAAATATGACACAAAATTTGTTCTAAGCCTACTCGTCCTGCCTTCTGGTACCTGGCTGATAATGGTGACATTTTTTATGCAAACCTTGACTTTTACACTGTGTTGATAATTCCTTTGTGGCTAACATCAATGGCTTTGAAAAGGGTTTGCTTTTAAATGTCAATTAATTCTGGAGGCGAGGTAATCGTTAAGGACTAAATACCATACCATTAAATTAATTATCAGTAGAAGCTAAACATGAAAATACATGTACCATAATAGCTATCTAATTATTTATTCCTAACTATCCCTAATAACTAAGGTAGGGAAAATATGGTTTAAAATATTGTTTTCATGTTCTTACAGACAATTCGTTGAATGAACAAGAATACATTTCTTCCGTAATTCCCCCGTCACATATTCACAGATAACGCCACGGAAAAGCTACGGTCTAATCGTTCTACAAATATAAAGACAAATAAGTCAATGACATTCAATTATTTGTGTCTAATGATAATGTAAACAATTATAGTTACACTACATCTTTTTTACTGAAACATCACAATTTCAATATTTGCTGCGCTGATGCACATAATAGTGCTATGCCATAAGGTAAAACGTCTATATTTGAAAGAAAATGACAAATAATGATGAATTGCAAAAAGGAAGAGGAAACTATCAAAAACAAAAGTACATCTATTATAATAGTGTGTTCTACATTCAAAGAAAGGAAAGAGTTTTTAGTTTCTATTCTTTGTGCAAAAGGAAGAGACACATTTATCAGTCACTAAAAGTTGTTTTTTTTTCTATTAAACTATCAAAACACTGGATGTCTAGACTAATGGTTTATGTTTGAAGAGGATTTAACTTGACAGGAAGTGTGTGCCCGCTGTTGCATGATAAATCTATTTTGATTGGTCAGTTTTATCTTAAAGTTTCAAAATGCCAAGATTCCTGGTAACAAAAAATCTTTTTACAAAATGGATGCTTTAATAGTCATAAAAGATGAATTTACAATGAAAATGAGTCGTCAAACTGTTCTTCTATTTTTCTTTCTGGTAACAACCTCAACTTTGGTCATAACCTCATTAAATAAGCCAGTATGGAATGGAGCGTTCTTACTTAAAAATATATCTTTGGACGAAAACTTTATCTTTAAATGTCTAAGGTGTCACATTTTTATTTCAAATTTGAGATGACTGTATTTGTAGTATATGGGCAACTATTTTATTCATAATAAGATTATATTGAAAAAAACTATCTCTTACAAAATTATATATCTTTTTCCTGATTTGAGTAAAAGATGGTTTGTTTCCTTCAAATTAAAATTTTGCCTTATTGTATTATTGCAATTCAGAGTTATATTTGTGTCATTATCTTTTGTGTCAAAGGCCTCTTCCAATGCCATTTGTATCATTTTAGTGATAGCTCTTGTTGCCGTTTTTTTCCGTTTCGTTTGCTTCTAACAACTCAGCCTTACATCTTTTTGGAAAGAATGTTCTCGGCGAAGTTTTAGAATTTCTTCTTCAGAAAATGGTATAGACTTAACAAAAAATGTCACTTCCAAACTTCCTCCTTTCTATGTGATCTCGTTTAAAAAAAATTCGTTTCCGTAATCGAAGAGGTAAAAAAACAAGTTAGTTTCTCATAAAATACTGTTCCCTAATTTTGAACATCATACTTACCAAACTCAAGTTAAGCATTTTAGCAAACAAATACGTGCTTAGATGATGAGAAAATTTATCAGTAAATGTCTGCAATAGAAATAGGAAATATACAAGTATGTACCTTGTCTATATAATCTGAGAACCTTTCATCTAATTAAAAAAAAAGAAGAAAAAACATTTTATTTGAATACGTATGCATGTTATATCATGTATATAAAGTGGTTTAAAAGTCTGTCATTGCCATTTCAGGGAGTATGAATTGTTGTGGAGATAAACCATCAATTTAACAGGAGAGGAAGATTATATCTTAAATTTATTCAATACGAAAAGGATCTGGTTAACTTCTTCTATTAGATATGAAAACATTAAAAACCGTTTCAACAATAATTTATATATCGCTTATTTTATTCAATCAACTCAAACAGCTTTGTTTCTACAGTATGATTTTGGAAACATCGATCCGCTGGGTGTTTATTTTGACATGCATCAAAAATCGAAGAATAATGTTTATATTTGAATTCAATGAACGCATTATCAAAACTCCATTTTAAATAGTTTCTTTATCGACCAAATGACAGTTATTGTATGTAACAAAAGCTGATATATAATATTTTGGACTCAATTTCCTGTAGTAGGAATTATTATTGAATAGGCAAAATTGGTAATAGTATATATCGTTGACACTTTCAAAGCAGTATACTTGCTTAAAATATTCAACATTTGCAAAATAAATGCAGTTTAAAGTTACCAATCCAGTTTTAATGACTCAAATTTTTAGAACGAGTTTTACTTAAAACCCGGGAATAATATCTAAAGATAAAGTGACAAAATGTTTAAAAATAATGACATTATGAGACTCCTGACTTCACAAAAGAAACATTTATGTAGAGTAGTAAAATATCAAGAAACTTGTGTTAGTGATTTTATTTGTTAGCGCTTATCTTGATATACATCTTCTGTTCTGTAAATTTACATACTTTTTGGAAGGAATTTTTTTCAAAAAAAAATTTCCTTTCTATAGTAACGGTCTGCCCATATTAAAAAGAACGAACAACACCTAATTGACTTCTGTTTAAGCTCAATAGAAAACAAGTAGTTAATGCGACCAAGAAAGTAGTGCAGCAGAACTATATGTATACTTTCAAACGTGGATGACTTGAAGAAAAAGATGATGTTAAAAAAAACTTGAAATGATGATATTCAATGTTAGCTTACATCAATGGAACATAATCTTAAACGTGTACGAAAAAAAAACCACCAGTATTATTACGCATTAGGCCAAAGAAAAATGTGTGTCCATGTACCTATGTACAATAAATTGAATATAAATAAGGTGTAATTTTGTAGCAGAGATGCTGAAAAAATCACATATAAGTCAACCGAAGGGAAATAAAAGTATTTTTTGTATATATTTAGCAATTTATTGAATAGCGTTTTATGCCACCGCTGAATTTTTTACGTCGATAACTCAAGAGGAAACAATGGATACAATATGTGGCCTTTAAAAGGCAAAAAAATGGTTCGCAAATTATCATAGAATCAAAGCGTTTGAAACAAAAGTATTATTATGTAAATAATAAAAAACAATATTTCAATACAAGTCTTTCAAAAGTATTCTGGAATTAACGGATGCAATTTGGTAAAACTTGGTTTAGACTAATAAGTAGGGCACACCGTTCGGACCATCGACAGAATAACGTTCGTGTTTTTCAGATTTCAAGACATAGATTTGCTGATGAATAACATCGCAAAGGTTTGTGGAAATGCTTTTATTTCTTTGTTCAAAATCGTTTTGTGTTTGCAGATGTTAATTTGTTAGACAAACGAAATTAGGTCAAGGATTGTTTTCATTATTGAATTTACAGGTAAACTCGGCCGGCCCTACACCAACTCGGGACAAGTGACTTAGTCAACTCGACCCTCTATTAAAACCATATATTAGGATTAGGATATAGATTGTTTAGTTAATAACATATTGTTTGAAATTATCTTTAAGATAAATAATTATCTGAAGAAGAGATATCAAGAGACAAGACAATATATGTTAAATATTGATCAATAAATAGAGTTTTTAGATTGAATTTTTGTGACAATGAATTTTATTGTATTTAATACTGTTTGTTCTTTAATATGACAAATGCTTTTTTAATGATATTTTTTACAAAAAATCTGGAGTAGCAAAATATGCGTTTAAATTGTAAATTCTTTCTTTCTCTACAAATTCGCATACAAATTGGTACTTTCATCAATAAAACTTTTCAATATCCTTGAGTAGGGCCTAGATGTCTGTTACAGTACTGGTTGGGGACCACCAAAACCGGACAACCACCAAACCCGGACGGTCCCAAAAATGCTTAATTTAGAATTTTCTTTGTTCAGTGGTGGTCAGTCATTTTTATATCAACAATAAATGCATGTTTCTTCTAAAATTAAGTAAATAAATTTATTTCAACCTCCGTAAATGTTAATATTTTAAAATGTCTATTTCAAGAATGCTGACGTTGAAATTTGGGGGCCAAGAAAGCAATGCCTGACCTCATATACCAGCTATAATCATTTGCAGAGTAAACATTAGAATATCCAAAACTTCAGCATTTGTTGCTGAAATATTGTATATCATGTTAAAAGTCAAAAATCATAGCACCCAAGCTTTTATCTAAATTAAATCACGTCATGTACATATCTGTCCGGACACATGGTACTGTAGTGTTGACAATTTAGGTAATTTTGATACCCTCCTTGTCGAGCCTCAGATATTAGAGTCAATACATACAGAAATAAACAAACTAGTTTGTTAGTTAGGAGAAGAGCCTAGCTGAACTGTGTCAATTTTTTTTATCTCTAGGTTAAAAATTATGAAATCTATAGGAAAAATGTTCAAAAAGTGTCCGGTTGATGGTCCCTGACCAGTAGTGTGAAAATGTTAAACCATGAAAGTTATGATGAAAACATATCAAAAGTATGAAAAGTAATCATTACCAGTAATATATAATAATGGGCCGAGTTGACCCGTGCTGAGTTGGAATAGGGCCAAGCTGACTCGAGGGCCAAGTACGTTTTAGGGCCGAGCTGACCCTGATTCGAATTTACAGTGTTGACTGTTGTGTAGGATTTGCTTTTTCATATCTATTGTATATAGACTATCTATTAACATAGAAATAAGTTTATAATATATTTAACTGTTGTGTACAATTGATATTCGATCACTGTATCAAAATTTATCTCGGCCCTCCTGATTTTTATTTGGCGAGGTCCGAGGACCGACAGCCTTTCGCACAGACTGCAATTTGCAGTTGGTATAGTAATTTTTAGTGTTTGATGATCAGAAGATTTTTTCCTTCTTAAAATCATGGACTTGAATAATTCAAATCTGTGTGAAAGCGCAAAGAGAAAGAGACTGAAAATTAATTTATTATTTCTATGGACAATATAGATGTTATAAATTTGTAATCAAACATGTGGGTCAATTTTCAGCAGTAGTTGAATCATGACAAAGTATTTTTAATAATTTTATTTAACTTCTGGCTACTTGAAAATTTCATGCTGGATGTTTGCTTACCATTACTTTTTGCATAAGAGCTCTATGATTGACATTAAAGTCCACGGGCCATTTCATTTCTGATATATCTATAATCTTTCCGATATCTTGTTATAATATAAATGACTGAACATCATTTTAGAATTATTAGGAAGAAATACATATGTTCATTCTTTGTAAAAATGTTAGAAGACTTGCAAGTTACCGACTTAATCATTGCATTTATTTATTATTGAAAAAATGCTGAACAGCTAGTCTCAACAGTGTTATAGGCTAGAATTTTCAGTTTGCATTAGGGCCAAAATATATTGTTAGTCATGACGGCTTTCCTATTGCTGTCAAAAAACTTTAACTTTGTTCATAACTTTTTCAGATCTTGGTGTATTGTCTTCGTACATGGCCACAACAACCCTTCAAATAGACCAGACTAAACTTAATTAACTTGACCACCATATTAACATTCAAGGTAAATGTCTAAATTTTCTTGATTTTTGCTATTAGTAGCTATAACTTTGTTATTTTTGAATGCTTGAACAACAATCTTTCAGGATAGGACCTGACTCACTCATAAATGTCCTTGAAGCTTTTGTGATCAGAAGTTGTACAGAATAATACAAACCCAGAACAATTTCATTTACTTGGTTTTGCAACTTCTGAGACAATGGATTTTAAAGATAGTTGTTTTCTTGAAATTTCAGGACAGTATAGTAGATAGTAAAGACATTTAATACATACTGTATATATACTATAATTACTTTAGTGTCCAACTTTATTTGTCATCCAATGAAAACGCTGTATCTCTTAAAAATTGTGTGCGTTAATTTTCATAGAAGTACAAAAGTCGATACTATATCGAATTACCTCCATAGTCGACTTCTATTTTTCATGGTACTTCATAAAACTGCATAGTGACGTAATAAAGTGAATGATAATGAGGCCAAATAAAGTTTGACGCTAACTATGTTAGTATTCATCCGTGCTGTTCTACAGAAATTAGAAACATTCTCCTGTCGCTATCGCTCCCGTCGAAGTTTCTTATTTCTGTAGAACAGCACGGATGAACACTAACATATACATAGTATACTATAAAAAATCTTTATGCTTGGACAATTTTGAACAAATTGTCTCTTAAACAGTGTAAGAAATTAGGATTTGAATCGACTTGGCTGGTCAGACTATTAGATTGAAATATTTACTTGCCCAAAAGACATTTAACTAGCACGATTCATTTGTTCAAAACAGTTGTTTATATTGCCTCTGAAAATACAGTAGCCTGGTCAGGCTTTTTACTGTGAAAAGTTGGTAGCCCGAGGAGAAATTTAGTAGTCGGGCTCTCAGACTACTGCTAATTTCGAACATTAGCTGCTTAAATTATTGATTTGATATCAACTAACATAATAATTGGGATACTATATGTATATCTAATAATAATTATATTTTATTTTTCAGAAGTTCGGCCTACATGTCAGATTTATGAATGTGAACAGCAGGATATCGATTTTAAGGATGCTTTAGGGTCAATGACAATGAAATCATGAGAGATAAAGGCTAAAATGTGAGACTGTCAATCTGACTAACCTTGAAGTGAATAAATGGAAAAATGTTTCTTTCAATAGCATGGGCATTTAAGGAAGAGGTACATGATTATTTAGAAGTATTTGTATATATGATATTTCTTAATTATTATTTTCTAATAGCTTTTTTTTCTTGACTTGTTTAAAGGCTGACACAGGACAGTTTATTTTAAGTCAGTGAGCTTCTGTCACTGGATAGACTATAATGTCACAAAAAGCCAAATTTATAAAAAAGAATTAGTGTATTTAAATATCTTATACAAGAAATTAGGAACAAAATTAATAGCAAGAACAATTGTGACATGTAACATGTATTTAGGAATTCAGCTTTCTTTTCCTTAATTTTTACCTCAGGGCAATTCACATTAAAATATTGAATATTCACAGTAAGCAGTGTTAGCACTCCAACATATCTGACATATATGATCATCTTATCATCACTTAGCCAGAATCACTCACATTTATGAATTTGAATAATTTTGAAAAAAATTGCTGCTAAGCAAATAGATAAAATACCCGGGGTGTCTGTGACTGATTGTTTTAGTTTATTGACTCCTTTCACTGCTGTAAGTTCAAGCTCAGCATTTTTTCATGTGAGAAAGCTCATTTATGGAACATTGATGGTATCCATGTGCCTGAAATCATACACATAGGTGCACCAAGGTCTTCCTCAACCAGTAAAGCTGGAAGGAAATTGTGCTGAAAATTGCCCCACCCCCCCCCCCCCCCCCAAAAAAAAAAAAAATTACAAAAATAGTGGAATTTTAATTTCATTTTGCAATTAACTTTTTCTAAACAAATATTTCAGGAAACAGAGGCGCTTATATGATAGAACAGATAAAGCAGGAGTGATAAGGAAAGATACAAAGATACATGTAGATGTGTCTTCATGTTGGAAACACTTAAGAAATAGAAAAATTGTGGTTTTATAAAACTTAAAAGAAATTGGAATACCAGGAGACTGTCTCCCCTTTGCAATGTTGGATAATGAGTTCTTAGATGTGATTTCGAAAGCCTCATGAATATAGTACCATGACTCAATCTAATTAGAAAAAGAAATGACATTGAGGAGAAAACTAGTCACCAGTCTTTCACCAATTACTAGAGATAACTTTCCAATATTTGAAATATCATAATATGTATAGAACTTTAATGAGCCACCAGTTTTTCACCAGGAAAATAAGATCACTTAACTATTTTTAGCTCACCTGTCACAAAGTTACAGGGTGAGCTTTTTTGATTGCTTTTCGTCCGGCGTCCGTCCGTAAACTTTTACTTTAAATGAAATCTCCTCATAAACCACTAAGCCAATTTCATCCAAACTTTACAGGAATGTTCTTTTGGTGGTCACCTTTAAATATTGTTCATAGAATTTGATTTCACGCAGAACGCTGGTGCCATGGCAACCAAAAGAAAATGACATAAAGTATCTTCTTTTAAAGAACTCAAAGAGCTAGAGCTTAGACAAAGTATCTTCTTTTAAAGAACCCAAAGAGCTAGAGCTTAGACATTTGGCATGAAACATCTTCTAGTGAGTGTCTACCAAGTTTGTTCAAATAAAAGCCCTGGGGTCAAAATTGGCCCGGCCCCAAGGGGTCATTGATTTTCTCTAAATGCATATAGTAAAAACTTAAAAATCTTCTTTTAAAGAACCAAAATAGCTAGAGTTTAGATATTAAGCATGAAACATCTTCTGGTAAGTGTCTACAAAGTTTGTTCAAATAAAAGCCCCGAGGTCAAAATTGGCCCCGCACCGGGGTCATTGATTTTCCTTATATGTGTATAGCAAAAACTTAAAAACCTTCTTTGAAAAAACCCAAATAGCTAGAGTTTAGATATTAAGCATGAAACATCTTCTGGTAAGTGTGTACAAAGTTTGTTCAAATAAAAGCCCTGGGGTCAAAACTGGCCCGCCCCAGGGGTTTCATTGTTTTTAACTATATGTGTATAGTAAAAACTTAAAAAATCTTCTTTTAAAAAAACCAATGAGCTAGAGCCTAGATGTTTAGCATGAACATCTTCTTATGGTGTCTACCAAGTTTGGTCAAATTTAAGCCCTTGGATAAAAATTGGCCATGCTGGGGGTGGGTGGTGGTGCAGAGGTCTTTGTTTTACATTATATTTGTGTAGTAAAAACTTAACATCATGAAACATCTTCTAATGGGTGTCATACAATTTTGTTCAAATAAAAGCCCTGGGGGTTTAAACTGGCCCCGCTCCAGGGGCCTAAATACACATGGCCCTCTTGTTGAAATATGTATGAACAAATCTTTATCAACTTCAAGGTTTTATTGAAGGAATTTGAATTACTTGGCACAAATGATTGTTATAATAAGACGATGAGTCATGTGCAACAACCAGACCCCTACCTCCAGGGTCAAGGTCGCACTTGCTCATTCAAGGTCAACATTGTCTATTTGAGAGTATATCTCGTGTCTGGTCTATAACTTTCCTATCTCTAAAGGGATTTTGTAAATACTTGCCACAATTGCTCACAATAATGAGAAGATGTGTCATGCGCAACAACAGGTCACCTGCCTCCAAGGTCAAGGTCACACTTGGAGGCCAAATATTAACATAACCTGTTACAGGGTATATTTTGTGTCTGGTCCATAACTTTGTCATTTATTGAAGGAATTTGAAATAACTTGGCACAAATGTTTGTTATAATAAGACGATGATGCGCAATAACCAGACCCCTACCTCCAGGGTCAAGGTCACACTTGCTCATTCAAGGTCAACATTGTCTATTTGAGGGTATATCTCGTGTCCAGTCTATACCTTTCTTATCTTGAAGGGATTTTGTAAATACGTGCCACAGTTGTTCATAACAATGAGATGATGTGTCATGCGCAACAATCCGTCACCAACCTACAAGGTCAAGGTCACACTTGGAGGTCTAAGAATAACATAGCCTGTTATAGGGTATTTTTTTGTCCGGTCCATAACTTTTTCCTATATCAAAGGATTTTGAAAACACTTGGCACAAATATTCACTATAATAAGACAATGTGTCATGCGCAACACCTGCATCCCTACCTCCAAGGTCAGGGTCACATTTCGAGGTAAAAAATTAACATAGTCTTTTAAAGGGTATATATTGTGTCCAATGTAGAACTTCTTCATAGTTCAAGGAATTTTGAAATAACATGGCACAAATAGTCATATTAATAATAAGACTATATGTCAAGTACAACACCTGCACCCCTGCCTCCAAGGTCAAGGTCACACTTAGAGGTATAAAGGTAACAAAGTCTGTTATATGGTATATTTTATGCACCGTCCATAACTTCTTCATAGATGAAGGGATTTTGAAAATACTTGGCACAAATAGTTACAATGATAAGATGATATGTCATGCACAACACCTGCACCCCTACCTCCAAGGTCAAGGTCACACTTAGAGGTCAAATCAGGGATTTTCTCCAGGATTTTGGGAACATAACCCATACCCATGGAACTGGGAATTTCAGTAATATTTTGTTAAAAATTGGGAAAAAATACATGACTGAAATTTTGCAGTGATTAAATGTATGCAAGCAATCACTGCCTAGGATGGCTTCTTCAAACAGTTTAACACTATAACAGTGAAGAAGCCCTTATTTTCAAAGATTTTAGAATTCTTTATTCAATATCTATATTTTTGTAACTTTCAATTGGGAATATTTTCCTGTGGATTGGGAAAATAATATACTATTTTCAATTGGGAATATGTCCCAATAACGGCTATAAAATGAGCAAAAAAATCCCTGCAAAGCTTAACATGATAGATTTTGAAATTCAGTATTTCATTTTATTTCTTTAATAAATATATTGTTGCATTTGCAGATCTAGCATTGATCATAATTTTGGACTGAAAATCCTTAGATCCCTGGCTCAATCTTTTGAAATAGCACAATTTTTTGTTTCATATAAAACATCCCTGAGGCAGGGGACGTTAGTAACTCTGTGGATCAAAAGTAAAATAATAAATTAAAACATGAGAGTATATTTCTATATAAATGGCTGGATTTTCATAACATTTATCACAAATCATGAAATGTTCACTTATGTATACATCTTTCTCCCCAATCTGAAGCTTTAAGGTTCAGTTCTGAATAAAGACAACAGGCTCGATATGCTGCCAGTGGGCTTGTCTAATTATGTTCATGTTTTGATTACCCACTCAATGTAAGCATTGTTCTTAACGCAGGCATTCAAGTCCTGTGGGCACATTTCTACTTTTGACTATATTTTGTTGTATAATATCAGTCTTGTATGTAAAAAATCCTTAAAACAGCACCTCCTATACCACTGGTTGTTTGCATTAAAGCTTCTTTCATTCAGATTGTTATAACTTGTGTCACCTCAATATGTACCAATAATTTAAAGGGACTCACTCCATTGAGGTTTAAAAGCCTAAAACATAACATTTGAATTTCTACAGAAATTAGCTGGGGCACTTGATACAGAAATATATGCACAGATAGTGAAGAAATATACTTTGAAATAAATTGAAAATCGATTTTTTATGCTTTTCTCAGCCTGATCTGTGTGAAATGTGTTTAAACGCTTTTATTTTGGGTCATTTTTTTTACAATTTGAATAATTATTCTTGAAAAACGATGTGCGCAAATGATCTGAAATTTTTCTCAAAGATAAGTGGTCAAAATATACATCAAGTGGTACATTAATCTAGAAAATAAATTTCAGTCTCATCATGTCAAAAAACCTCAGTGGAATTCCTTTTACACAGTTTATCTGACAAACTAAATTTCATTATCTCCATATATTTAAGCATTTATTTTTTATATCACATATATATTTTTACTTTTATTCAAGTTTTGACAATAAAAGTTTACTTTAAATCATTGTTCTTTGTTTTGCTATGACTTTAACAGCATGTACATCAATTTCATACTAAAACACAATTAGTCATGTTTGAACTTACACATGTAAGCACATGATGAGCTTTTCTTGTCCTTGAGTTTAAAATAAAAAAGTCTCTTCATTAACTACATGTATGATTAAATAATGCTTATGGCATGGTCTTGAATTCCTATGAAGTAGTTATATAAGTCATGGCCGATTTAGGTCAAACTGAGTGGTTCTTTGTGTTCATAATGCAGAAGTATTATCTATTAATTCACTTATTAGAAACAGAATTGCCTATGATTTCAACTGATTATGAGTGTCACAACTTATGGGTTTGGGGCCCTGGGCCAAGAACTAGTTATCAGCCCACTGAACATGAGTAGTGCAAAAACAGAAACAATGACGTCACATTTTGTGTCATCAAAACAGCAAGCTGTAGATTGAAGCTTGCACATATTCCTTTGTTTTTAATTCACACACATTGGGAATTTCTATGAAAATTTCCTTCCAACAGTACTTTCAGTGCTTTGATTGTAAGAAGAAATCAGCATTCTTATACTCGTATATAAAGTGTCTCGTTCAAAGTCTGTCAATGACATTTCAATAAATGTGAATTATTGTTGAGATAGATGAGATTTCTTTGAGATAAATGAGAAAAATATTCATGAAAAGTGACTATAGTATGTTGTTTTATTTGTGTGCCCTTACAACTTATTTGACCTTCCAATGGCTAGTTCAACATACAACATATTAAATCCTGTAAACTGACACTTGATTGGCTTGTTTAGTTTAGTTATTTACATCACTCTTTCTTATAAACGCAACAGCAAGTGTTAGCAACACATTGAAGTGGCCGGTACTAAAGAACTTGAAATATGCTGGATGAACTGAATAAAAAGAAGTTTGCTATTTTCACCTTAATTATTTAATTTGTTCTAGTTTATCTGAAGCGAACTTCTTTATGTTAAATTATTTTAACAAGTATAATAGAATAAAACATTTTATAATATA